CTTCACTGACCAGCAGGTCCTCCACTCCTTGAGCAGGAGTTCCCGGGGCCCTCTGCCCCGGCGTTCCCGGCGCTCGCACTGAGACCTCCCACGGGTAGCCTTTAAGGCTTTCCCATCCTTGTGGATTCCATTGATCTTCTTCTGGAAGTCGACGAACACCAGTGCCTCTCTTCACTCCTTCTGAGGTCACAACCAGCAAAGTGCCAGTCCTTCCGTGGTGACCTATGTACCTGCCTTCCTTGAGTGGCCTAGCTCCTTCTCCTACCTCACGGTAATACAATCGCTCTCCTATGGCGATTGCCGGCTTTCTCCATTCTCGGCCACACCTCCTTTGTTCCGGTGTCTTCCCGTCGGAACCTCTCTTGTACCTGCACATCAGGTCTGCTGCATGCCTTGGAAACCAAGACAGCACAGGGTCGTCATCCTTCAAGACTCGACCCAACTTCTCCTCCAGTGAGGATCGCAGGACTCTCACCTGCCTTTTGAGTTCTCGGCACAAGTTCTCGATTGCGCCATTCGCCCGGTGGTCAGCCACCGGCGACTCCTGTGGAACATTCTCCACTCCTGCTTCCTTGGCCGCCTGCTCCTTCAGGGCAACGATCGAATGCTCACCATCACTCTTGAAGACTGCACGACGGTAACCAAGATGCTTTATAAAGTTCGCCATGAATTTGACCGCATATGGCGTCGGTCCTTTTGCGTCCACGAAGGTGGCCGCAACGGCCAGTGTCCGACTGTCTCGGATCACCAGGATAGGCTTAGTCTTCCCATCCTCCTTTCCATCTCGCGTCATCCATGTGTAGTCGCACGAGATTGTCGCGAGCTCATCGCTCGCCTTGTCCTCTTCGGGTCGTGAGCGATGCTGCTGACCCAATCCTCTGCCGGCAAGACAATGCCGACACCAGTTGCGATACTGCACGTGACCTGTTGCCTCATGCTCCGCAACCTCGGCCCTCGATGGGCCTCCTGGTGCTCTCACCAGTGCGGGCGGCGCGATCTCGCCGCTCTCATCCATCTCATCACCCTCGGGCACACCTGCGGGTCGGCCCGCTGGTGCCTCTGGGTTCCCTTGTCCGGCACCCACGGCATCATCTGCCGCTGCAAGTGGTTTGGCCGGACTTACGCCTCGCTGGACTGCCGTCCAAAACCCGAACAATCTTCCGACTTCAAATAGAAGCATCATTCTGCTTGGTATACTGCCGTTCTTCCGACTTCAAATAGAAGTTGTAAACTCCTTTCTCTTGGTATATGGGCAACCAAGTCTTCTTTTGGGCTTTACTGGGCTTGTTGAGCAACTGCTGAATTTTCCTTCCTGTCGCTGAGTCTGCTGGAATCAACTGTCCACCATTTTGATCAAGAACAGCCATCCTTCCATGGTTGAGGCATTTGTAAGCTGAAACCAACGGTTTGTGTACCGGTGCTAATGGCCCTGTGACTTTACACCTGGAACCTGTTTCACTCTTACCTTGAAACGTCCCGGTTCCGGTCCCAGGGACCAGTTCCCCCGATGCTGTCTTGAACATCATCTGGGCTCCTTCCTTAGTGGGGATGCGGTCTTTCCAATCCACTGGAATAGCAGTTTGAGCAGCCCCCGTATCAAGGTTGAACCGAACCCAGTTTGGGTCTTTCGGGGACTCTCCCTGGGTGAATGCACCCAGCTCAAACATTCCCACTTCGGCCTCCGGTTGTTCTTCTTGGTCTCCAGCTTCGTAGTCGGCGTCCTCGAATCCTGCCACATGCTTCTGCTTGGAGCCAGACTTCCCTGAGCCTTTGGAACCTTTTCCATCCTTCTTCTTGCTCCAACACTCGGCCGCTCTATGGCCGGGCTTACCACAGTTGAAGCATGCTCCTGCGGGTCCTGAGCTGCCTGAACCACTGCCTTTACCTTTTCCTTTGCTGTCCTTACCTTTTCCTTTGCCTTTGCCTCCACCTTTGTCCTTTCCCTTACCTTTGCCTCCTTTCGAACCTTTCGAGCCTTTGACCAGCGAGTTGAGCACCTTCGTGATGGCGTCCACGTCCATCGGAGCGGGGCCTTGCCCCGATCTCGAAGCCCCACTGGACCCCGGTCGATGGACCGTCCCTTTTGCTCCCGTGACTGTTTCAATCAGAACCTCAATCTCCTGCTTCATTTCCTCGTAGGTTCCCAGCCGGTTCTTGTTCAGAATGAGGTGGCGCTCAATGTCGGTTGGAACCAGAAGTTCTAGGGACGTACACTTTATGTCCTGAGAGAGGATTTCCCTCTCGCCCCTTTCGTTCCTTCTGGCCTCATATCGGCGCATCAAATCATCTAGTTGTTCCATGGCCGGTCGAACTGCTTCCCAAGACTTAACTCTTTCGGGGTTGAGGATGGCCCTTAGGATGTTCCTCTTCCTACCTGCGGTGAGGGGGTCCCATCTCCTGTTAAGCCTTCGCCATGCCTCATACCCGTTCTTGGCATTGATGACCAGATCTTCGGACTCATGAGTAGTAAGGGATGACAACAACCTATACAGTTGGTCTCCCTTATCATCCAGTCCGGCCATTCCCAGTTCGCCTCCATGTTCCTCTTCTACCTTTTCAACAGTGATCTCCTCATCCTGATCAACTACCCATTCAAGGATTGACTGGAAACTGGATCCAAAGATTGCCGTTGTGAGGTTCACCACAGACCGGGCCCATCTACGGAAGTGGCCGTCATCATTGGAAAAGACTTCCGGTCTTCCAATCCCTTTGGTGTCTATCAACAACTTCCTATCTCCCCTCTGCAGGCTTGTAGCTAACCTACCAAGGTTCTCTGCCAAAGCAGCTATACCTGCCTGGCCTTGCCTAAGAAGTTGATTCTCCTGTGACAACCGCTCAACTGCCTGCTGCAACTCTCGCACTGTTTCCTCCATGCCTTATATCCGGTGCCAAGCACCGGGAGGTCAGTCCGCCTTCCCGGACTCTTCTGTACTATAGTACGACCCCGAGCTCGATCCGCTTTTCGGAGCGCTCTCCGGCTCCGGCGCCGGTTGATCGTAAAGGTGCACACTGCCCTCGGTCTCGCTCAGGGGTGTAGTCGGCGACGGAATCGGTGGCGGAGGTGGCGGCCGCTTCGGCCGAGCCAGCGAAACCTTCGGCTCGCTCTTGGGCTTCTCGATGTGGGCCTTCTCCTTGAGCACCCACTTCGGTCTTGGCGATGGAGGTGGTACCTTCGCCTCTATAGCCGCTTTTGCAGGAGGTGGCTTCACCTGAGGCTTCGCGATAGCTTCCGGTACTGACTTTGAGGTCGTTCCTACCGGTGCGCGCCTCCTTGTCGCCCCTTTTGCAATTGCTGCGGCCCTGGCCAACAACGATGGCCTCTGAAGGCGAGTCCTCTCGTCGCACGAGGAACACGGGTTCCCTAACCCGTCCAGTTGCAGCACACTCTGCTGGATGGCTTTGGCCACCGAGCCCGTTGCTCCGGCTCGGTATGCAGCTTCTGCCGACGCCGCCTTCCTGAGGCGGTAGTTCGAGGCCAGGTTCTGCTCGCTCGTCCCTTCACCGCGGGATGTCCTTGCCACCGCAAGCTCTTGTATGTTCCTGTGCACCGTAACCCGTCGGCCGAGAGCTTTGGCTGCCTCGGCGACCGGTGCCAGCAGCTCGGGCTCAGCGCCCGGTGAAGGCTCCTTTCCTTGGGCCTTTGTGAATCCCTTCGGCGGTGTCTTCGGAGCAGGGCTGGACTTAGGCGGGGACTTCGGTGGTGTCTTGGGCTGCACCCGGCGCCTCTTCCAGGGCGCCTGCCCGAAGTTCTCGATCTCCTCCTGGAGCTCCGCGGATGGCTCTTCCTGCTTCTTCTGCGCGAGCTTCAGGAGGCCTTTGAGGATCCTAAAGTGCCGACTGTTTTGGCTTCTCCTCTTGTCTTTGCCAGTCGCACTCTGCCACCACCGAGATCCTGACGACCTAGGCGTGTGAGCGACCTTGGGCTCGGGCTGGATCCTGCCCTCGCTGCCCCAATCGCCCCACACGCTCTCGTCCTCGCTCTGGCCCTTCTGCTCCAGGTCGAAGTCCGTGGCCTCGGGCTCAAACTGCTTCTTCTGCGGCGGGTGGAGGTCCTCCTTCTTGTCCTCGTTGGTGTATTGTTCCAGCTCCTCCTCCTTCTCCTCTGCCCGGCTTCCTCGAGCCGGTTCTGGGCCCCTGTGGCCACTTGGCAGAGCCTCTGGCTCTGAGGAGGGAGGAGATGCAGCCTGGGATCCTCCCCAGTCTGCTTCTGACTCAGCGGCAGGCTCAGCGGACAGGGTGTCTTCTTCTCCTTCACTCGGAGGGGCAACTAGCTCCGGCCTCTCCTTCGGCAGCTCTTCCGCTGCCCCGGTCTCCTCGACCGGCTCTGCGGCTTTGCCTTTGCCGCGAGCGGGCCGCCTCCACGGCGGCTCCTCCTTGTTGCTCTTGCCCCTGCCCTTCTTGCCCTTGCTCTTGCCCTTCTTGCCCTTGTTCTTGCCCTTGGGCCCCTCGTACGGCTTTCCAAACCAAATGGACCGTCGAGGCTCACCCGCTACCATCAAAATGCAATATCTCGGCTCTGGGGTGCACTACGGAGCGCACCCTTTTCCTTGAGCCAAAACCACACGGAGTGCAATCAGCGCATTGGGCAATTATGACTATACATATCATGATGGATTGGCTCGTTAATAATTTCCCGAATCCAGAATGACATGTAAAAATAGGAAAAAAAAAAGAAGAAAAAAAAACCTCTCCCCACCATTCAATCTCTTCCAACCGCTATCCATCCATTCCTTCGTCATGTCCTTTCTGTAATAGCGGTTCATTTCTGAGATTGATGGTGTACGAAAGGAAAAGGAAAGGTTAACCGCTATCCCAGACACAAAAAAACTAGAGTATAAAGGCATCCTTGTTCAAGAAAGAAGAATTTGCTTTCCAACTCAAAGAACAGCTCCTCTGTACTTTTGCGGAGGGTGTTTTCACAAAGTGTTGCAAAATGTAAATAGCCGAACTCGATGTGCACTTGGCACGGTCTTGCTTCTTGGCAAACACTATGAAACTTCCTATCGCACCCCACTCCGTAGTCCACTTTCTCGCCCACTTTCCCCCGCACACTCCTTCCTTCTTGCAACTTCTCCCCAACTGGCCCACTTTCTCGCCCACTTTCCCCCGCACACTCCTTCCTTCTTGCAACTTCTCCCCAACTGGCCCACTTTCTCGCCCACTTTCCCCCGCACACTCCTTTTTGCCACTTCCAGCAACTCGGCCATCCGTGCCGCATCGGCGCGGCTCGCCTTCCTCGCCAGCGCCTCCCGCGGCGCCCGCCCGAGACGGCCGACTTCGCCGCCCGACTTCGCCGCGCAGCGGCGCAGCAGCTCCTCCACCGCCTCGGGCCGCGTGGAGAAGTCGATGCCGCCGGGGCCGTGGGAGGGGCAGTCCTGGATGTAGCGGCCCTCGCCGATGATCATCTCCTTAGGCACTAAACTTAAGACGGTCACTCCTAGGCCCATAGGCAAGTCAGCGCTGAACCCACGAAGAAGGAAAGACTGGCACTGAACTCAGGAAGAAAGTCAAAAACGCCCTGGAATCTCCTAGGCCCATAGGCAAGTCAGCGCTGAACTCGCGAAGAAAGAACGTCAAAAACCGCCCTGCACTCGCACAACTGCGCAAAACCGTGAATGTTCCCAGCCCCCTCTTGATTCCTTCAGTCCAAGAGCAACTGCCGCAGCATGGTCCCGTTCGCAAAAAACCTTGGTACTCCGTTCCAAATTTATAGTACAACTGTGACTACCTGTGAAACACGTTGACCCTGATCTACTGTTAATCTGAATGCTGGACACATATTGAGAACCAAAAAGGGCAATCTGACTTGCAGATTGGCCACCAACGCAACCCCTCTCGAACAAGAAATGTGTTTGCTCTTCAGGATCCAGCTACCCCACACCATCATCAACAAGGGCTTTGATCGCAAACTAGAAACTTGGACGCTTGGTCGCTTGGTTGCTTGGTTGTTTGGTCGTTGGTTGGTTGCTTGGTTGCTTGGTTGGTTGGCTAGTTGGTTGGCTAGTTGGTTGGCTGGTTGGCTGGTTACTTGGTTGGTCGCTGGGTTGGGTCGCTTGGTGGCTTGGTTGGGTCGCTTGCTCGCTCGCTTGCACGTCAGCTCCGAGACTCCGCCAGCATGCACCCTGCAGCCCAGACATCGTCCAGATGATCGAAAGCCTCTCCGGCCCGGCGCTCGGGCGAGAAGTACCAGGCAGGGCCTGGGCTCGCTCCGTGCGCATCTCCGTGCGCATCTCTGTGATCTGGAGCTTTGTCACAGATGGCCATGGGTCAAAAGCCAAATCGTACTCCCAGTGAACATCCCAACCCCCACTAAAATAGACTGAAATGGGTGGTGAACTCACCTACCCCAAAATGGTACCGTTGGTTTTGACACACCAAATGATGGGCTACTAGTGGGTAAAGTGGCTGGGAAAAAGTGGCTACTTGGGGATCCAGGGACTACTTTGTTGGAGCTTCAAACTGCCTCGAAAATGACAGGAGCCTCAGTTGTTGAAGTTTGACATCTTGACTTCCGAAATTCCGCAGGAGACGGCTGCCGTTTCGGCGACAGCGCGAAAACGAACCGCCGCACCTACACCCTGCACAGACATCACGGACGGCTCAAGCAGCTCCGAAATCTTGGCCAATCCTGCCAGTGACAGGTCGACAGCGCATTTCTTTCTCCCTCGCGGCCCTTTCTCAGCAATATGTTTGCACTCTTTCAATAGTCTACAGGATTGAAATCCACAGTTTCTCCATCTCCAAACCGTTTTCGAACGAGCATCGAAGGAGCAATGAGGCGGCGAACGGTGAACGAGAAGGGAGCTGAAAAGTGAAGCCACGCCAATGGGAAGGTCCAATCAAGGGTCCACAATCCCTGTCCGGAGGCTCAACCGCCTCACAAGACTCCAGGTCACACGAGGCGAAACATTGGAAGAGTCCATCGGAAAGATCCATCTTCAACACCTAGATCGGGATACTCCTCTCACCTGACCCTTCCTTCACCTAGGCTTGAGCTTTTTCCTCCAGGGATGTGGATGCGACTCTCTCACAGGCTGGGGAAAGGGGGGGGGCGCCTACGTCGATAATCTTCACAGCGCTTGGGCAGGTGGACACTTCAGCCCCCTCGCGCGCGATCAGCACATTCTCAGCGTGGAGGTCGCGATGGATCATGCCGATGGAGTGCAAACAGGTCAACCCCTGGCAATCCAGGGTTGAACTTGGCTTCTTTGGGCAAGAACTGCTTGAAGAGCAAAAGCAACATCGTTGGACACTGAGTACTGGTTGGATGTGTCAATCCTCATTAAACAACATCGTCTCCAGCCTTGAACAGCTGCAGGAACCAGCATGAGACACACTCCGCAGGGCTGGGTGACTCCTATCGGGGCTTTCTGCTTGAGGGGTCATGTGAGGTTTAGCCAACAAAGGCTCTGGGATCTGCCTTCTGGACTCCATCTACAATTTGCAAGACAGGAGCTCCAAGACACATGTTGTGTTTTTTTTCATACATTGCATAAGGGTCAAAACCTCATAAACCTAGTTGGTTCAAGAGGTCTCCACTTCCTGCCTCGCTTTCGAGTTACAAGGTCCACTCATTCTCAAGCCCACGGCAAAACTGGCTGGACTGCAACTCATTCCGTGAGCCTCGCCCCTCGCCTTGGAGTTTCTGATGAGCTTGTAGAGCTTCACCGCATCCAGAAATTCCGTGACAATGTGCAGGCGGCCGTGCTCCAAGAAGCAGGTGTAGTATCGAAGCAGATTGGGATGAGCTGGCAAACGGGCAAGGTTCGTCAGCTCGGTGCGAAGAAACGCCTCGTTCTTGTCAAACCTTCGAGCGAAACTTGGACGGCCAGCAAACAGCTTGGTGGGGGAAAAACGGAAAGTGAACGAAGTGGGCTTGGGTGTCGTGCTCGCTGTTGTTTCAGAATGAAAGGATGAGATAGATTGTCTCATCTCGACACAAATAAAATCGAATTGCCTCCAGTTTTGCATTTGGTCTTAGATTGCTCAGGGACTCAGTCTGAACCATTGAAACAAACACCCATCACCGAGATATGTGCACCTTAAACTCAAGGAACAAACCTAGAGTTGTTGTCTTCTATGTATACCACGCCAGCACCGACATTGGCAACATGTGGGGTTCGTTCACATCTCTGTAGGTCCAAAGGACAAACTTCCTCTACCAGGATTGGGGTCCCACAGACTGTTGCAGGACATCTGAAAACGGGGACTTATTCATACTCTACCGACTTTAGAGCATTTAGGGCCGCCAGAGATCGCAAATTCGAACACCTGAAATTGTCCAAAACTCTACCGATTTTAGGACATTTAGGGCACATCTGATTTTCCAAGCAACCGCTGGTACATGCTCTTCACCGCGCACAGACGACCATCCAGCAAGCAACGACAGCAATGCACCACCCCAAAGCCACCGCTCCCCAAAGGTTCAGTACCTGGACTCGGTCAGGTACCGAAACCTGCGGAGAAGCTTAACACTCAAAAAGACATGGGGGAACGGCAAAAGGTTCCCCCCAAAATGCATACATTTGACCCACTAGTTGAAAAGAATAACAAGCTCGCTCTGGCCTACCATCTCGTAGCCGCTTGGAATGTCGCTTCGTCGGCTCTTCCGTCTGCTCTTCACACTTTCTCGACAGATTGGAAGCCAGAAGGCGCTGGCTGCACGAGTGTGATCGTCTTCCAAGATTGCCAATTTCTCATGAATGCAAATGGCCTCACACTGAAAGGCTGAAAGCGATAAGGAACATTTTGCTGCATGTTTCTGTTTGGAGCTCCAAAACAATTCTACTTATCTCATGCATTAGCGCTCGACGAATATGTCTTGCTTTGACCGCTTTAGCTTCACTACTGCAACAAGGACACTATTGCCAAATATGAAAACACAAACATCGCACAAACCCCTCACTGATTGTCCACTGCACCGGCCTTGCCGGCTCCAACGCTTTTGATGTGGAAGCTTCCGGGCACCAACGGCTCCGGGTCCAGTGCGAAGCATGCGAAGGCGTCCCGGCAATCCTGCGCAGAAACCGAGACGCGGCCATTGGAGTCAATGCGCAGCGGGAAGCCAGAACCCACGTTGATGAGGAAGAAGCCTCCTAAAAAAATCAACGCCGTTGAGTCCGAAAAGAGAGGAAAACTCAGTGGACGAGAGTGTTTGGGACAGAAGCTTTGGATACTTGGCTCATTCTCAAAACCACCCACCATCCATCCTGTTGCCCACCAAAGAGCCACCTATTCAGCAACCAGTCCTTTGCCCAAAACGAAGCCTCCTCTTGCCTTTTGTGGCCCAAAGAGCCACCTTTTCAGACAACCTGTGGTCCTTCGGGGCTCGCCTCCAACTTGAACTTGCAATATTCATCCTGTAGCCTCAGTTGTTCAGTGATCCTGGACAAAAAAGGGAACCCTTTTTGGGGCTTGGACCATTTTTAGTTTTTGCAGCCACCCAAAAAAGGGGAAAAGAATTGGTGCCACTGCACAACTGAGTAGCTGCCCAAACCGCAGCGAGGCCAGCTGATCTCCCAGCCCGTCCACGTGCAACGGGGTCAGCTCTTCGGAAGCCAACAGCAGGCAGCTGCGAAGACCCATGCCGTGAGCCTCCAGTCTGAAGATGCTCTCCTGTCCAGATCTCCCAGATCTCCCACCCAAGGAAGTGCCATCTTTGAAAAACTGCCGGGTTTGCGGACCCCCGGGTCACCGAAAGAACACCTTCAAGTGGAACATGGCCCCTGCAAGCTACGACTTTCCCGTTGCCAAGAAGCTTTCTTCGACCCTCCATCGATCAAAAGGTGACTCTGAGTATCTGCAGACGGAGTCACCGCCTCTCCTCTGCCTCGACCGACTCGATGGTCGAAGCCATCTGATCCACGCCGATCCGCAGGGGCTGGTCCATCGCCACACTCAGTAGCACGAGACCCTCCTCAGAGGTCGCGGCCGCGCGCAAGTGGAACTGGGAGTACTCATCCGTGCAGTCCCCGCAGCGCACGGAGGCCAGCTGGTCCCCAAGGCCATTGATGTGTAAGGGCAGACCTGTGGCCAAATTCCGAAGGTAGACTCGTCCTTCACCCGCCGGCTCGATCCAAAACGCAGAGAAATCATCACGGCAGTCACCATAGCGAACCGAGGCCAGCTTGTCGCCCCATCCGTCAATATGCAGCGGCCATCCCGTTTCAGCGTGGATGAAACGAAATGTCGCCATGGTCCTGTCCCTTGAGTGAGAGGCACCGATCAAATCTTGGCTTTCTTCGGTCCAATGGATCTTCTTTCAGCAAGTAGAATCAATACCTAATGTCCACTAAAAGGGTCCAGGACACCTCTAGCGCAAACAACCAAGCCAGACAGCCAAGCAACAAACAACAAAACGAACAAACGACTCATCAACCGAGCACTTGGAAGACCCAGCTAGCCTCGTGACCAAACCTCCAACCATGACAGCGGAATTAAGGCCCATAGAAGGATCCCACCCTGTCTGCGAAGGATTCATCTAGCATTAATTGCTACCCACGCCATCAATGGTTGACAACACACAATACCTGGGAAGCACCAACCTCCTGCTAGACAGTAAGGTGCATCTCTCAGCATCTGAGTTCCAACTCCAAAGTGCACATTTGTTCAGCGGCTGAATGCCATATTCTGCGATATTCCAATCCGAAAAGGACGCCAGCGACGTCAGAAGAAAAACTTCCACCTGTCAGCCACTGAGAAGCAGGCCGCTTCCGATCCAAAGGAACCCAAAACCCCGACACATTCCCGGTGAACTGATGGTTTGCCTCCAGTAGGATGCGGGCTTTCCAAAACGAAATGGACCGACTTTGCCGCTACGCCCCCGAACCCATATGGGTGGGACTTAATTAAGAGCCGCTCTCCTTTTTTTTCTGATTTGTTTTCAAGGGAAACCAACAACACTCCCTCCCTCCCTCCCTCCCTCCCTCCCTCCCTCCCTCCCTCAAATTTGGCGCGTCCAACTCCAACACCAATCCATGGAACACTTCCAGCGAGTCCGTCCGGCCTCAGCTCGGCCGCCAGGAGCCTCAGCTGCTCCCCCAGCTGCGCGCTGCCCAGGCGCTGCCCCAGCTGCAGCAGCCGCTCCGCCAGCGCCTTCAAACCGCCTCAGCTCGCCGCGAGCTGCGCGCGCGAGGCGCGAGTTGCGCGAGTTGCGCGAGGCGCGAGGGGCGAGATGGGCCCAGGCTGAGCAGGCGGTGCGGCAGCCGCCTTCGTCTTGAAGCATCCAACCGGAGAGACCAAAGGGACAGGAAGAAAAGAGAGATCCGACCTCCGCGGAAGGCCAACACATCTTTGGAGAAAACAAGTCTTGTGCTACGCCTGACAAAAGTTGCCGGCTTCAGCACATACGTTCCCCAAGAAAGCATGACCAAATTGAAAATGTTTTGAGCCCTGTCTGCCTGGTAGGTCTAACCCACGCTTTTGAATCGCGTAGCTCCTTTGCTGGCCTTTTAATCTCAAAACTCGGATGTCGAAAAAGAGAAAAACCAACCGCCAGATATGCCGGTTGTAGTGTGTTCATCTGTGCCAGCTGATGCCCAAACTGACACCTACAAGCTCCCGGCCTCTGGGAGGTTTTTCCATCTGTCGGCCATCAGTCGCTTGGCCAAAGGAAAGAAAACTGCATCAAAAAGTGGCTCCAACGAAGATTGCTTTAGCAAACTTTGGATCGCTGCTTGAGCTCTCGCTCAATGAACTTGTGCAGTCCTTGAAATCTAAAATGCGCCTGATGACATGCACACGTGCTAAAAAAAAGAGCTGTGCAAGGGGCTGTGTAAGCGTCAACTCAACTGACTTGGCAGTGTTGAGCCAAATGCCAACCCTAATTTCAGCTGCCCGCCCAGGTACACATATTCAAACAAGCGCAGCTACGGCAACTGTGCGCAAACCGTTGATAACTTACTGCTGGCAAAGCTAACCTTTCAAGCTATTTGTTCTGGGCAATGCTTTAAAAGTGTGGCAAAACCAATCTACGTGAAATGTCAAACGGAACACTTGGCGGACCCGGCGCCAAAATTAGCTGGCGGCACTTTCAAACCAAACAAAACGGGGCCCAAACACCGAGATGGCATCCGGGGCACAATGCTGCGGAAATAACAGTGTACTACCGGGTTTGGCAACGATCAGTCACAAATTGTAAGAAAACCGCTTGACACAGCAAACGGATTCCGCCGCGCTTGCACGGCAGCAGCAGTCCAGAGCGCGGACTGTCTTTTGTTAGAATGGACCAGCTCTCTCTTTAGAGGGCGTTTCCCAAATGGATTCTATTCTACCTGAGAGGCTCCTAGCACTCGTCCGTCCAGGAAATGACCTCGTCCTGCGAAGGATTCGAAGTCTAAAACGCTGCGTGCAGGCGTGTGGCTGCAAAATAATGACCCCTAGATATGCTTGCAATTTGGCTCCAGGTTGCATTTCAAGCGAGCCAACCTTTGCAGGGCTAAGAAAAAAACAAAAAAACAGAAAACAAGGGGTCCCAAAAAAAGGGGTCCCCGAAAAAAAGGGAAAAGGGGTTTCCTTTGGCAAAGCTTGACATCGCTTGAAATGCAACCTGGAGCCAAATTGCGGCGCATATCTAGGGGTCATTATTTTGCAGCCACACGCCTGCACGCAGCGTTTTAGACTTCGAATCCTTCGCAGGACGAGGTCATTTCCTGGACGGACGAGTGCTAGGAGCCTCTCAGGTAGAATAGAATCCATTTGGGAAACGCCCTCTAAAGAGAGAGATGCAGGGAATCCCTGCATTCCCTGCATTGAACTCCCCCCACGATTTGATTCAGGTAGAATAGAATCCATTTGGGAAATCCCCTCTAAAGAGTGCGCCAAGCCGCTGAACCCCCACAGTCCCCGGGCTCCTTGCTATATGTGCTATATGTGCTATATGGTATAGAAGCCCGGTATCGAAGCCTCCTGCCCGGCATTGAAGCCGCGCCAAGCCGCAGAACCCCCACAGTCTCCGGGCTCCTTGCTATATGTGCTATATGTGCTATATGGGTCTTACACGCCAAGCCACTGAACCCCCACTCTCCCCCAGATCCTTGCTATATGTACTATATGTGCTATATACTTATTCTGTACGCGCGTTAAAATATACTATATGTGCTATACAATGCATATTTGGTACATGTTGGAGATGCTATGTGTATAGTATACAGGCTTCTATACCAATATAGTACATATAGCACATATAGCAAGGACCCGGGGAGAGTGGAGGTTCTGCGGTTTGCCTTGTGAGAGCCATATAGCACATATAGCACGTATAGCAAGGACCCGGGGGACTGTGAGGGTTCGGCGGCTTGGTGCCTGCCGCGCCTGCCTGGCATAGAAGCCTCCCGGCCGCGCCACTTGCCCGGCATAGACGCCACGCCAGCGTACGCGCCGCGCGCATTCTTGTTTCGCACGATTTTGCATGGTTTTGACATGGTTTTTGCATGGGTTTTGCATGGTGCGATTGCATGACATGATTTTGAACATGACATTTTGACATGTTGGTTTTTTGCACGGTTTTGCATGTTTGCATGCGCATGTGGTTCAAGCCCTAATGCTTCCCCCCCTCCCCCCCGATTTTTTTCCTGTCAGGTGTACGTCCTGGAGAACTTCGCGGTGGGGGCGGTGCCGAGCGGGCACCTAGGTAAACGTGCCGAGCAGGCACTAGGACGTGCCGAGCGGGCACAGTGCCGAGCGGGCACAGGCACCCTGGTGCCGAGCGGGCACCGTGGGGGTGTGCTGAGCGGGCACTTGCACTGCCGAGCGGGCACTTGGCACTATGGCGCCGAGCGGGCGCCGTAAGAGTGCCAGTGCCGAGCGGGCACCGAACGTGCCGAGCGGGCACCCGGTGCCGAGCGGGCACCGTAGGCACAGCGCCAAGCAGGCGCAGGCGTTGTGGGCCACTGTGAAAGTGGAGGCCACGGCCCCTTAGTACTGGCTCGCCCAGTACTGGCTCGCCCAACCTCGTTTGATGGCTCGCCCAACCTCGTTTGATGGCTCGCCCAACGACTCTGAGTACTGGCTCGCCCAACCTCGTTTGATGGCTCGCCCAACGTGGCTTCGATACCTAGCGCGCCACATTCCTGCCCGGCATAGAAGCCCGGCCGCGCCACCTGCCTGGCATCGAAGCCTCCCGGCCGCGCCACCTGCCCGGCATCGGAGCCACAGCCCGACGGGTTCGCCCAACGACTCTTAGTAGCTGAACTCCACGCGGGCAGGGCCCAAAAAATGGGTCATGCCTGTTTCCAGTTCCGAACTCCACGCGGGCATGTCCCAAAAAATGGGTCACGCCTGTTTCCAGTTCCGAACTCCACGCGGGCAGGTCCCAAAAAATGGGTCATGCCTGTTTCCAGTTCCGAACTCCACGCGGGCAGCAACCAAAAAATGGTCCGTGCCTGTTTTCAGTTCCGAGGCACTTGTGTTCTCGAGCATCACAGCCGCGCCGCCTGACACGCCACCCGGCCGCGCCACCTGCCTGGCATAGAAGCCTCCTGCCGAGCCCGCGCCAAGGTCGGGATTCTTCCCAGGAAAAAAATTCGAAACTGTCGTCTAACCCGACAGTTTCGGCGAACCTGCCCGGCATTGAAGCCTCCACCCCAGCCGCACCACCTGCCCGGCATCGGAGGCCTGCCGAGCCCGCGCCAAGGTGAATTCTTCCCAGGAAAAAAAAATGTCGAGGTTGTCCTGTGCGGGACAACCTCCTTCAATCCTGTTGTCACCCCAGGATTGCCTCCTTCTTCAATCCTGTTGTCACCCCAGGATTGCCTCCTTCAATCCTGTTGTGAGCCCAGGATTGCCCCTTCAGTCCTGGGCTCACAACAGGATTGCTCCGAAGCCCCTCAGACCGGCGTTCCCGTTTCGCCCCACCGGAGCCCCTGAAGGGCGTCGATTCTGCTCACAAGCCGCTCGCAGTGGGCGTCGACGTCGAATTGGGTCGTCTCATCGAGGCGACCGACATCGATGTTAATCTGCTCATGCAGGCGGTCGGTTTCGATTTTGAGCTGCTCGTGGAAGGTGATGACTTCTTCGCCTACAATGCGGTCATAGAGGGCGTCGGTTTCGACTGCGAGCCACTCATGCAGGGCGTCGGTTTTGAATTTGAACCGCGCCTCGAGGTTGATGGTGTCGGTCAAGAGCTGATCACCACGGACGTCGGTTTCGTCTGGGAGCCACTCACGGAGAACGTCGGTTGCGCTCGCAAACCGGCTCAAGGCGGCGTCGGTCTGGA